AGTTGATATTTGTTGACCTACTTCCAGAGAGTATCGACATTATTGCATCACTAGTCCAGCTCTGTTTTTTTCAAGTTGAACATAGCTAATCTTTAAAGCATGCGCACAAAGTAGCTCGTAGTGTTGTATCAGTCTTCCGCATTCTGTTTTATGTTTCCCTGAGTCTCCCATAGACCATAGATTGTGGGCTCTCTTTGTCTACTGTTGCTTCACTCATTATATGCTCTCCCTTTTATTTCTATCTCATGTGATTCTGCATTCCTGCATTGTCTTTCCTGGCTCATATCTTACTATAAAACTATATACCTCTTTCTTCACTTTGTCATTAACCCTTTGTTCTTCTCCCCTCACTGTCTGTATAGCTCTCAAATCTTTGTGGGTATTATCTTCAAATCATATCCTCATTCCCCTTGCCTTTTTTCTATTCTCACCTCATCTTTTTTTCATTTGGCCCCACTGCTCATCTTCCCTCCACCTCTCATGTCCTTTCACATCTCTCTCTCTTCAACTGGCTGCCTCTCATCCTCCCTCAGCCCTCCCTCTTTCTCTTTTACATACTCCTGATGCGCTCCTGCTGGCCCCGGTCTGTCCGAAGGGATTAATTGATAGTGAGAGATAATAAATCTTCCCATTAGGCGCAAGGCCCCTGCCCATCGCTCATTATGCGCCCGTTGCTCCTTAACGCCATGGCCTGGGGTTCCCCCTGCTTTTTTAACACGCACTTCTGTCATCCTAACGCCAGCCAGGTTAATCTCTGCCTATTGCAGTCGATTGGCTACCTGAAAGCACATATTCATTCATGCATGAACACCATTTGAAGCAAACATGTTTATTCCTCTCTCCCTTTCTAGTTTTGCAATACTCTGTGTTTTACATGATATCCTAATGCAGCAGCTGTTGCATGCAAACGTAATACAAATATAAAACATGCTGATTTTTTCTTGCTTATTGTATAAGACAATATATATTAGTCCACCATGAGACACCTTTGAGAGGTCTTTACATGTTCACGATTCAAAGCTTCTTCCATTTCATGTTTTCGGCACACAGGGCTGCCACAGGCATTGTTACTAACTAACTAACTGTTTGTTAGTTACTGACCTGTATCATGCTGCCGATCTTGGCAACGGCTTTATGTTATTATGTTAACGTGTCCCTTAATTTAATCCGCCACAAATGGTCGACATTCAATACTGGGATCCGGATGATGTTTTGTCCGGAATGATCTGTTGAACAAACGTCCGCCACACTTGTTTTGAGAAAACAAAGAATCCTGCACACTCTGATCACATGTACTCACTTTATGAAAAAAAAAAAATGAATAAAGTGAGTACAAGTGATGGACAATGAGTGGGATCCTTTGTCTTCTTCAAAGGAAATAATAATTTGAAAATGAAATCTGAAACTTGCAAATTAGTTTAATTTCAGTAAGTGATATTTTCATATCTGCATGCATGGAGACATCTGAAGAATGCATAAATTCTTCCATCTGACATCTGGTAATATAGCAAATAAGACATAATCACTAACAGATTTTCCATTTGTTTGAATTAATTCTCAATACATTTGCTTGCTTTGATTATTCATTGTATCTTGGATGTTCGTTAGCCATATCTTGCACATTACATGGGGATATTAAATGATTTAATATCTTATGTAATATTCAGTATTATAATCATGCTGCCGTTAATTTGGATAAGTAAGGATACAAAATACTGGGTTTTAAAATTGAGTTGGAATCAATATTTTACTTAATGTCCAATTTCTAAATCGTAATACTGAAGCAGGTCTAAGCCGAGTACCAACCAACCATAATCACAGCATTGCTTATAATCTCTTTATTGTGAGACTCAAATTAGAGCCCAAAAATTGTTAAATATCAAGATAAAAGGGAGACATAACACAACACCAATCAGGAGATAAAGTTTGTATTTTTTTATTTAAAACTTCATATAACCCATACAGCAAACTGTACAATTGAATTATTCACAATGCGTTAAAAAGAAAATAATTCATTAGCTTTTCTTTAATATTTTGTTGAATTTCCCCATGTTTTACTCAGATGTCAGTTATTCTAATGTACTCTTAACACATACAGTTACTAGGAAAACAAAATCATCTTTTTTTCCCTTTTTTTTTTACAAAACCTTACAAAAACTATATTCATAGAAATTCTGCATGTCCACAAAGAAAACCCTGGTTGTCACCAACATAATTATCATCTTGTTTGTGAGGTTTTCCACCAAATGATGGTTAGCTGTGCAACTCAAAAGAAAGGTATACATAAAAAGGCATACCGTCGTGACAGCTGGAAAATCAAAACTCATATCACACACACTGCTAATGGAACACAGGTTATGTAGCTTACATTTTGCGTTACTTTTCTCCCACGTTTCATACAATTTTGTGTAAAATGACATTATTATTCACATAAATTTGTAAAAAAAGATGTATATATTCAGCAACCAAACTGACTGAATCAGCCAAATCAGAAAACTCTGTCGTAATTCCAACTAATTTGGATTATGATGATATTTTCAATTATTTTCACATATTACAGAGGTGAAATACAAGAGGCTTTGAATCACCTGCATGGGAAGCTACAGTACACATGAAGGTAACAATAATATCGTATAACCACGCATCAGCTGAGGCCGTACTTTAGATCACGCCCTGATCGGGATTTCAAGAGCAGTAAAGGTCCAGTTACACAAGATAAATCCTATTTTCCCTATTTCAAGAGTGTCCCCTAAATTCTTGGGGAAGCTCTATTTCCATTTCATATTCAACTTAAAGAAATATATCAGTCATCATAAAAGAAGATTTACATACAGTTTCCCATCTGGATGATAGCACTCTGATATACCATAATATAATGCATTTCTATTAAATAAATAAACAAGGTTTGGGGCTGTGGAACAGGGGTAAAGTGAGGAAGTAATTAAAGAGACCTCTCTAATGAAATAAATAGCATCTATAACATATTTGACTGTGAACAGAATTCATTTATAACAGTATAAATTTAGCAAAATACATTTTCTCCTGCTGATCTTATCTACATACTCTACTTTGCAGAAGGGAATCCATAGACAATTATACAGTGAATCTCTACCAAACCAACGCTAAGTTATACAGATTGGAGTTTTCTTGAATCATAGATGGGTACGTTTTAGTTTTTTTTTGTCTTGACTTATTGACTTCACAAACCTCACAGAGGTTTGCCGTTCGTTGGGCTCCCGGGTGATAGCAGCTCATAGACTCCTCGAATCTTCCTACAGCATGACATTTGCTGAAGATAAACACTTATTCAATAGGTATTAAAGTCAACATGACCACACAAAATCATCATCTGTCTTTTATCTATTCACCACGTTATCAACTCAGCATGTTAACACACTACGCGTATGGATTGACTCTGTCCACACACCAGGTAATTTAAAAGGAAAAGCTGGTGACTGAGATAACCTTCAAACCAAACCATGGCGAAGTTTTCATAAACGCCCGTAATGCAAAACAATCAGTTTCCTGCCAAAAATCACCTGAAAGAAATGAAGTAACTGTTCAAAAAATGTGTTCAGAAGTACTTTGGACATTCAATGATCCTGTAGCCACACAAGTCCAGCATGAAGTTTGATGGATATGTCACAATTGAATGCACTCAAAAAATGCTCTTTAGTTTTAAGGTCACAGTCTCTTACCCGTTATCTGTGACTTACAATTATTTATTAAACAAAGATATAAACAGAAATACCTGATCCAATGCCTTCCACCCAGTCTGTATACTGTATATGCATATACAAAAACATATATACACATATAAGTACAGACATGCTACCATTTCATCAGAGTTGAGCATGAACTTTTAAAATTGTTCCATATACTCAATATTTCTGTCATTATCCTTTTAGAAATTACACAGAACCATGGTTATGTTCTATTTTTTTCGTTATGTTTTTCATGCTGTGATTGTTTTACATTATAGTGTTGATAACCATACTTTAACGTGACGTGGTTTGCACCCAGCTAATACATTACAGTGCCACGACTGTGCCAATTACAATTTGCTTTCAATACATATTACCCTGCATGGTTGGAAAAACTGTTCTAGCAAAGATCCCTTAATAGTCCCTTTTAAACCACTCTAATTTACTTTGCATTGAACGCAAGAGTAGTGCTTTCTAAAAAGCAGAGTGAGCAGGAATTGGCCCGAATAGTACTGTGTCTAGTTTTGTTGAATGGCCAGATCTTTGGCAACTGATTAAAATTCAATAACGTAAAAAAAATCCTTCAGACATAAAATGTTCTTCTGCTCCAATCAATCACTGTATCAATGATTAATTGCTTGTGTGTAACAATATAGTTAATTTCACATGACAGTGGAACAGTTCTGTCTCTCTATGGGTTTCCACCAACGATAATATTGCAGTAACTGACTGAGTATTCTTTCAGGTTATCATATGTGTACCTGTGAACCTTGCTTTCAAAAGATCCTGTCTCATAACCTGCAGCTTAGGACTCAAAGATAAACACCGGAGCCTCGACAAGTTTGAGGTAACAATATTTTCTGCCGTCAGAGGCCTTTTCAGGAGTTTTGATGAAGGTGAGAACTTGATAACATAATCTTAATGCATGGCAAAACTCTTGTCTAATGAAAACAACTCTCCTCCATGAATCTGTCACTTATTGCCATTCGTAACAAAGCCTTTCACTTTAGTCCATATTTTCCAATAAAAATTTCAGTCTTTTCACTGAGAGAGGATTCCTTTAACAATGTGTATTTTCTTGTGTTTTTGTGTTGCGCACGTAAACATCAGACTTGAAACTGATTTTTTGGGTGTACTGTTTTCCTAAAACCTCCCCCAAATATTATAAATATTATTTGTACCTCTTGTGGTTTGGAATACAGTGGTGAATTTTGTCATACCTGTGTGGCTGATGCTGCCATTTTGAGTTGCCCATGTTTTGTTAGTGTCCCCATGTCACTGTGGTTAATAGTGAATCTGGTGATCCCGTCTATGCCATTGTCTCTAGTCTCTGGTATTGCCCCTGACAAGTTGCTCAGGAGGTTCTTGCCCTGGGGGGAACACATTGTCACGGAAACACGGGAGTCATCCCAGTGCTGCAGCTCATGTTGTCCTTTCCCGGGAGTCGTCGGTCGTTGTAGGCGTGCATGTTGATCACTGCATCCGTCTTCACCATGACTGGAGGCCGAGGCTTGTGTTTCACCCGCCTCTCGCAGGTGAACGACAGTCTGATCTCGTCCGCCATGGCACTGCACAAAGACCTCTGGACGAAAAGGGAGGATGCGGGGAGGTGAGCAAGAAGGAGAAGAGGGGAAAGGGACGGGGGAGGGTAAATGCTTTAGCTTTAAATTGTTCTGACAGCAGAGTGTCGACAGTCTAAAGAGCACAACATGCGTTAGAACGTAACATTCGTGTTGTGCCAGTGATCGTGTGTGTATGTGGGCGCGTGCGTCCATGGCTGTCAGCAATGTCGAATCGCACCACCACCACATGTAGCCGGCACATGGTTCATTATTGCTGCTGTGTCAGGAAGAGTGTGCTGCATGAGCATGCATGCAACTACGCACTCAAATTAGTGGTTTAGAACAGTAAAGGGTTCATGCTATTCTGACAACTCCAATGACTAATAATGGATTCATTCTCTATGCTCCAATTTGCAATTATGCCTGTTAAAATAAGTCAATGTTGTGGTGTTATGGCATAAGTACTCTTAGGGATTAGCCAAAGGCAGGAAAATCCTTTAATAATGTGTTTGAACTAAAAGCCAGAGCACGGCGTTGGTTTACAGGCTACGTGTAAGTATCATCACAAAATAGGCTTAGTTAGCAACTCCTTTGCTAAAATCGAGGGTGAATTAAACTGAAATGCTAGTGGAATGTAATTAAATTAGTGTTGGGCTAATGTTCCAAACCACAGAGTAAAGATCGAATAAAGACAATAACACATTAGGCATGTGATTTATGGGGACATGTACCTGCTCACGTTCTGCAGTCTTCCTTAGCTTGTAGACGAATTCAGCAATCGCCACAAAAACAGACAGCACGAGACCAGATGCCAGCACAATGAATATACCACCCAGGTTCTGGATCCCCATGGGGCCTGTCTCGTGGCGCTCTTCATCCAAGCAGCTGCTCCCACTCCACCACTTCTCCTTCAGCATTTGTAGGCGCCCATCCTCCAAGATGCTTAGGATTGCTATAGTGATTTTGTCCCTGTATGGGGAGCCTGGAAGCAACATAAGGCCTGTTTTACTTTGGAAGAAATGCCAGCTGGAGTCTGTGATAATAAGGTTCATAAACATGTTGTGGCATACCGTCTAACTGGTAGCTAAAAAAAACGTATGCTGCTGCGTTGTCTAAAAAGAAATCCCCTTCAAAAGGCAACATATAAGAGATTGAAGAGGTTGATTTGTTTTTAGCAGGCAGCCTCAAACGTTCACAGGTTCTTACCGAGGGGAGTGCCGATGCCATAGCCTTTGCTGTCGATGATCCCTCCCACCTGTGTCAGGTTACAGTTCCTCTTAGTGATGTAATCGATAGTTGTGGACTCCATTATGAGGGCATAGTCTGACTTCAGCACCCTCTGAATCCCATCCTCAATAGACTTCACCAGTGATGTGCTCGGCCTGCTGCTCATAAAGGCCCACATCTTCTCAAAAGTAGAAACCTTAGATTTCTGTAAGGGACAGAAAGAGCCAGATAAAGAAAACATGTGACTTTGAACCTCATTTGAGCAATCTCCCTGGCTGCAAGTCAATAAAAAGTGGTTGAAAAAAATACAATGCTCTTACCATTTAAAAAAAAAAAAAAGTTTGAGTTTGAACAGAATTACTTTGAAACATTATAGCCAAAGGTGTTATACAGTGTATAATGTTACAAAGGTACATATAATATTTGTTCACTTACAGTATTAGAGAATACAGATTTCAGCCAGTAATGAAATAGATATACATGATTACGTCCTGCTGATCGCCATTGTCTTGGGATTAAAGGACAGTAAATTGAAGCTTTGTGCCCATCTATTCTCATAAGTGCTACTGAAGCAGCAATAATATAATGCCTCTCCATTAGTCTTGCATCAGGCTATGTGGTATTTTGTGCAATTCTGTATGAGGTCACATTTATGCCATGTCTAATCCTAGATAATTACTGTCTAAAGACTATAAGCCATTTCAAATTGTGAAAGATGCTGTTATAAGAAGCCCTCCATTATGTTTAACTACAGTAGAAGCACAGTCCTGCTTGCCTAAAATTAAGGTATGATAGTCTGATATTAAAACTTAAAAGTACCAATTAGGGTGTATAACAAGTGTTGCCAAGTTGGCATCTTTGTCGCTAGAGATTTGGAGATGAGGTTAGAAAGGAAGATGGACCATATGGCACATTGCAGCGATGTGTAATTCAAAAAATTCTACTACTTTAGTTGTTTTTAACGAAGCAAGTATTTAATAAAAAATATGTGCATTTCCTGTTTTATGCAAATATCCACTTCACATTAAAATAATAGGCTAAAAGTTTAACATTTATCATTTTTGATATTAGGATTGTTGAAAAGAAGGCTTTTGAGTGACATGACAACCTCCTGGCCAGCAGTGGCTACAAACCTCTGATGACATTTATAAAGCAACGTGTCTGTTGCCATTCTTAATCTTAATGCCATCGATATATCGAGTTGTACAGTAGATAATGTCTTCTTGTTGGCTATCAGAGTTTCTGGTCAGCCATTACTTCAGTTTGCTGGTGAATTCATTCATGTATCTAAGATAAGTTACAATATACTGTCTCCGTCTTTTAGGGCCAGGATGCATATTTGGAGGTGTATAACTACAGTATGGTGTTTTCTTTGGAATTGCAAGAATTGAGCCGAATTGAGAGCAAAAAACAGACGGTTAAGTATGTCACCGAATCATGAGTTAAGGACCAAATCCATCCAGTTACATCCATCTGCAAAGCCTTCATCTACTTCACGGTCTCCTCAGTATTTATCATGCTTTTCTGGCTCATTGAATTTACTTCATTAGGCCTTTCTGGAAGTGCAAGGGGGAGCAGAGGGCACTTGAGCCATGCAACTCTGATGAGGTAATTAAACACCTGTTTCTCCTATTTATGACGCTGAAATCACAAGGATGATTTATCGACGAACGCAAAATGATCTTAAACTTTCTTTGACATGGCTATTCAGAGGAACAGAATTTGATTTCTTTTCAAAGTGTCAATGAGTTGAGTTGGATTCAGGTGCACTAATTGTCATTACATGACATTTCGTATTCATGGGGTGCAATGCAAAAAGTAAGTTGTCTTACAGTATTGTGATTATTTGGCTTGCATGTGGCTGCAATTCCAAGTCACCACTATTGTTTAAATCTATATGGTATAAGCGACAACCCTGAACCCAATAACATAATCAAAGCCGGGGGATTCAGAACACACACAATTCTGCAGATTCAACAATGAGGCATGCAGTGTTCATGAGCTACACTACAATTGTTTTAGGCATTAAAACTAGGGCAGACAGATGCCCTGGAAGAATTGTTAGCTTTCCTGCTATTGAATTTCATAAACTTATGGACTGCCTTCAATTGAAATGTGCAGTGTTTTCATTTTCTTACTCAGAGAAACTGTAACTCTGTTACATGTGTTATTCAGCACCACAGAAGCAGAAGCATCTAAAGCAATGCTCAAAATAATAAAATAAATTCAAAGACCCTGCAGGCACGCTGAAACTTTGGAATAAAAAAATCATTATGGAGGAACACATCAAACAGTGTAAAAAAGTGGAGAAGCTGAATAATTTTTCTTTGCTGTGGGAATTAAGATCTAACTATATTATATTATATTTTATATATATATATATATATATATATATATATATATATATATATATATATATCACTAATAACTCAAGAACCAACATCTTGCCTAAGTTCACATACATTTTACATCATTATTATTACTACTGTACATGTTTGCACTAGGCATGCTTCAGCTACACTATGGCTGTTTTTACACTGGAACCGATCTCTATTGCTGTTGATTATGTTATCTTAAATCTCCGTAGTACCTTCAGTAATGTATCAAACTTGTATTCATGCTATACCTTGAAGAAAGTCATGGTTGCGCCATCTTTGACCACACCATACTCAATCTTGGTCTGCTTAGCGATGTCATCGGCTGAGTCCACAGGCGAGTCCATTCTCTCCACGGTGAGAAAAGCTGCTAAATTAGCTGTGTAGGATGATATGATGATGAGTGTGAAGAACCACCAGATCCCACCGATGATCCTGGTAGACAGGGCTTTGGGCATCAGTTCTGAGCCTGTATGCAACACAAAGTGAGAGACCATTAAGCGATTATCGAGATGAAATTGTACCTGCCAACACTGTAACCAAATTAAACAAACGCAGAAACATGATGGCCTGCGTTTTTGTTAATTAGCCTGCAAATGTTTTTTGGCAGTGCCACTGAAAATAAAGCCAGTTTGGCAGTTTAGCCAAAATATAATTTAACTATTCAGAATGGGCAGATCAGACCAGTAAAGTGTGTGTTCCTCAGGCTTCTACACTCGGTTCTGAGCAATAACTTACATACTCACTATGTACTCAATCACACTGGCAGATGACTATCATTTTATATTGTTAACTTATATTGGTAATAAAGTGTTTTTATTGAAAATATAATGTGTATCAAAAACTTTTAATGAGGGAGTATAAAATCTATCCCTACACCGTATTTCATTATTTCTAGTGTGCTTTAGTTTGATTGACGCATTTGCTGCATAATTGTTGACGCTAAAACATAAAAGATGAACTGATTAATATCATTTGCAGTTGATCCTAGTCTAGGACTGAATCTTTCATCTGAAATGAGATTTGATGAACCAGTTGACATACCATATGTAATTCACACTACTACTGTTTCCTTTCATCTTCCTATTATGTCATTTATAGCTCACCATGTTTACCAGATGTACACACTAATATATTTTGCAGTCAAATCATTACAGTCTGTATAAAGAAAACTAAAAAGCAAGATATAGTGCATAGCCAGACTGACAGTCCACTTCAGCATCAGCCGTGACTTTGAGTGGTCCTCTGCTAAGTAATACTATGATTATAAGGCTCACTGACTGGTGTTAAAGTTACTTTATACCTCATATCTGACAACCTTTAAAATACCCTTGTGCTTTTTGCACTGTTACTTTATTGAGAAGATTTATGAGGGCAATTTTAAAGAGTAACAAGTCCACAGAAGGGGGGCAGAGTGGTCAGCTCTTTAACCTCTTCCACCAAATTGTCCTTTGTGGTTTGACAAACACTACATGGTTACAAACAAGGGAAGACTGTAGCATCGCTTAATTCACTATTGCAGCGAAAGGATCCAAATGCATTCTCTTGTTGATGAAATGAAATGAAGCAACGGGTAACTCAATTGAATTCCACACTATAAAGTGCTGTTGTCAGCATGGAATAGTATATGGCGCTGGAACAGAGAACTAATAAATACAAAACGCAGATCAGTCAGATGGTGCCAGGGAAATGAAACGGTGTCAATATGCCATACATATGCTTGAGGAAGGACTCGTATCTTGTAAGCCAAGGTAATATAAATGTTTGTTCAGAGAAGACGATACTTATTCTATTTCAGTAACCAAAACATCACATCGATCTCATTGACTGTCGCACTGCTCATTCACATGAATGCTGTAAATAGCTGCCTAAGAATACATACTATTACACAACACTGAGGTGCAAGTAACATTGCAGGATATGTGTTGTAGCAAAATTGGCATTTTTGATTTTGAGACCAGGCTCAGGAATTTTCTTGTAATTGAAAATAATAAATCCTTATTATGCCATATTAGTTGAATTAAGAGTGCTTCGTAAAGTCACTGATGAAGATGCAGGCTTTAAATTCGTAAACAGTAATACTTTACTGTCTCTTTGAGTGCTGCAGGGATGTGTATCTTTGTAGGCCAATCCTAGAAGTTAGCATTGCACTGGTGCCCTAGACAAAAAGCCGATGGGATTTTGTCATTGGATTTTGGATTATTGCAGAAAATAAGGTCTGTGGCAAACACAAGTTCATGATAGGGCGACTGTGGCTAAGTAGAGAGCAGGGCCGTCCTTCAATCAGAGAATCGGCGGTTTGATCCCCGGCTCCGGCTCCACTAGGCGCTTGTTGCTGTGTCCTTGAGCAAGACACTTAACCCCAAAATTGCATTTCTTTGTTATTGCAAAAAATACAAGTGAGAATCAGAATATGAGGTATCCTAAATTTAACTTCTACTCACAGTATGGGTTATGTGCAAAAGCTCCTATCTATCTTGTTTGCTATTATTTATAAAGTCTTAGTTCCCCAGGAGATGGTTCGAAAGTGCTTTTACAAAAACAAAATCTTAACTCAGGGCCTATTTACTAGCATCAAAAGTCTTGAGAGAGCTTATTTGTTGATTATATTAAAAAGTAGACTTCAATTTTCAACTTTAAATTGAGGTCGGAAGAAAACTGTGCTGTTGTATTTTTAACTCCTTTAAGATTTACTGTATCATCCAGCCTTATGATTTATATATCAAGGTGAACATAGAGTTGTGAGGCTTGTGTTTCCAGTCTGTTTCAATTGTTTTTCTGTAATGCATAAATATTCTCAATTAACCAGCACTCAAGGAAATTATCAGTGGTTTTAAACTGAATGTTGACTGAGGTCGAATTCCTGTATTCCATTCATTTCTTTTTCTTGCGGCATCTGTGCTGCAAGAAAATACTACTATACTATCAATACTATACACACAAGGGGAGTTAATGTATAATGGATACACTATATCTATAGCCACTACTAATATGTCAGCATACATTTCTTAAGATGACATCATGCAGAAGTCAGTCTGACACTGCTGTTCTCATTTTGAATAAATGAACAGAATGCTTCGTCTCCAATGATGCTTTTTTGAATTGTTAGTCTGGGGGAAAAAAAAACTGGTCTCTGTGGATTCAGTAGTGCATCATGCTAAACATGATGTACCAGTTTTCTTGAGTCTGCCCACTAGCAAGGCCTCACTTTAACATTAGAAAACAAGGCTTTCCCATGAGAATGATTACCTGCACTTAGCATTCGCTCTGTGGAGTCACTGCACAATAACTCCCGTTCAAAGCTTGAGGCTTTTACTTGTTAATTGCTTTTGAATAATAACACTTGTGAATGGAAATGTTTATTCCATTGCAAGTAAATCTTGTTCTGAATCTCAAGAAGGGGCAATGTCACAACTGCAGTTTCTTAAACGCAAGACAAAATGTCAGCGCATATTAGAAGAACCAAATAAAGAGTACAATATGTTGGGCTTTAATTATGCATCTCGGTGATGTATGAATATATTTTAGAAAATCAAAGAATAATGTCAGTGAGAATGAGAGAATTGGGAATAAGTGAACTCAGAAATCAAACATACTTTCTAAAATTATTTTACGTGGAAAAACCAATTTACAGGAAATGAACAGACATATGTTTGTTGTGAGCAACAGCCTACTGAGACCCCCAGGAACGCATTTGAAGTACACAAAGTGTTTGGTTTTGCACCTCCTCATGTTTTGCGTTCTTTGTCTTGTCTCTGACACCTCTCTCCCACAGGCAAGCTGGTAGAATTTTTTTTTTTATTTGTGCATCTCCTCAAACACACCCATTTGCATTTTAAACATGTCAAGGAAATGGCTTCCGTCTCAGCTGCTGTCACTGTGTTTGGCAAGACAAGTAGAGGATGTCTGTTAATGTGACACAGACAAAATAAACCCTGCTGCAGATACCACCATGCAGCATGTGTTACAAGGTGGAAGCCAGGATCTGTCTGTCAATTTCAACTCAAATAATTTATATGTTTAAAATCATCGTGAAGGTAATTTTGACAATACTCAATTTAAAAATCATGTAGAAACAGTTATGCAACATGAAAAATACACCCATCACATATCAATTCATAATGCAGATAAACCTGCTAGAAAGCACACATGATCTTAATATTAACTTCGATATCCAAATGTGACATTTTCTTATTTAGGGAACTATGAATACAAACTGATTAGCAGCAGCAGTTTCAGTTAACTGCTGTAGATATGACAGACAACCCTGCGAGCCATGATACAAATTATAATAGGGAATTCTTCCCAGTTTAGTTTAATAATAAAGGCAACTAACTAGCTCATTTTGTTTTGATTTTCTGTCTCCTCTCCCTCCCGGCATGCTGGTGCTACACTCGCAGCCCTTTGCCTGCACCGGCAAATTGGCAGAGCTGCTATGCAGTTTCACAAGAGTGCTGCCGAGCTTCTGTGCTTAATGAATTGCTGAATGTGTTTGCTATCCTTGTGGGCAAAGATCCACTGTCGAGTCTCTCTAAGCCTCTTTGATTTGTCTTGTTATATAGAGGTTAAGCATTTTATTACTTGGGTCTTTTTTTCCTCCACAGTTGACTTCATTATTATACTCCTGGGCCTTAATTTACTTACCTATCCCTTTAAGAGACATCTAGCAAATGAAAACTTGGGTTGTATCCCTTTGGTTTTTCAGTCAAAAGGTATAATTAAATCTGCAGTGGGAGGTTTCGTGATACATGGTGGCTTCTCGTACTGAATGAAGAAATTGTTTATTTTGTTCTGACTTTTTTCAGCATTATACATCAACATCAAATAAGACTAAGGGTGCTCCGATGTCGGCGATGTCGCATCAATTCTAAGTTGAAATTAATTCAATACTCATTTGTCTGCTGTCTCGCCTGTTCTTTAAATTACTCTTAGAGCAACACAGCTGGACAAACACACGCGCACCAGCCCATCTTCGCGAGCGCCAGCCCATCTTTTTTTTCCGCGAGGGAGAAACAGTTTTTGGACCGGGGTGAAAATGTTTTAATGTGGACACACACACACACACACACACGCTCACGCACATACACATTCAAAGAGCAAAGGAGCAGAATTGCTTGTTGATCGGTGAAATGGTTTCATATAGACCCCGTAATCAGTGATCGGATCAGACGATCCTGCTTCCAGCGAGAGGTGGTTGGCCCCAAAAATCAGCAGCTGAGCACCATTAAAGATCACAATGACATTTAATTGTTAGGCTACTTGTTGGACAGTTAGGCACGAGACAAAGTTTCTCCCGCACAGTGCTGAAAACATCACACCAGCCAGCTCTAGCATGGCTGACAGCTGGCATTTGTCAGACATGTTCCTCAACTAACCCTTTTCGTCCCAACACTCTGAAAGCTCTTGAGCAGGGCCAGCAACTGCGTTACGGGGAAATAAATGCAGCAATGTTTTCCATCCTTTCCTGACAATCTTTGACAAGTGCCTGGCACCTACTCTAACCTTTTTAAACAGCAGGTAGGTGACAACAGCCTTCCTTTGTCATGTAAGGCTGAGCTCTGCAGTTGTTCTTGACAGATAAATGTCTTATGAAAGAGTCGCGGAATGGAAATCATGGAGCTTGTCAGTTAAAGAGGGAGAAAGAGAGCGCTAGCAGCACATGGGGAAAGGGGGGTGGTTTGACAGTATCGTTTTTGACAGGGAAGAGGATGTGCGCGCCACCAAACCTTGTTGCATTAAGGAACCGACTCCAAACCAGAAGCTGTTCAGGAGGGTGAAGTTGTTCTCCACCACATCAGATCCAGGGTTACAAGGATGGGCGTCATACCATTCATATGGGCTGAACCTGGGAACAAGAAAGGAAGTTGGAAAGCTTTAAATCTTTATCTTTATAAGATCTAAAAAACAAAAATACAAGAATATGTTTCTGATCCTTTTTGAACACCATTCCTTCCTCAAGTAGAATCTCAAAAAACTGAATCATATCAGCTTGAGAGCTATTCTTGAGAGTTAAAGCTATTTTAGAGTTCCACCTTTGGTTTGGAGTAACACAACTACAGTATTGATGACTGCAGTAGAGCAGCAGCTCTACAGAACAGTACCCGCATTAACTGATGCTTTGGGCCACTTGGTCGCAGCAGAACAAGCAGTAAACACAACCTTGACTAACCCGATAGAGTTGTTTTGGCAAACGTGTTAGCAATTTGGATATTTATATATCCAGCAAGCACAGAGCAATACCAGCATTTGTTTGAATGCATGTTTGTGGCTACCTGATAATGTCCAATAGTCACTCTGTTTTGGTCTCCACCTACTCCTATGACTAATATCTGTCTCTTTAGCTGCTACGTGCTCCACTATGTTCATTAGTTAGTCGCAGATGTTGTTTGTCGGCCGTTTGGGGCTGGGAGATCAGCATACAGTCGGTTGATAAGAGCTTTTTCACTGAGAACAACTGCCCACTGCTGCTCTAAACAAAACTCATGAGAGCAGTAAGACTGAACCCGAGCAATTAAGCTGCAAGCCATGTAAACCAACATAATGTGCTGACGTTGAAAAGCTCTATAAAAGTGAGGGGAAGTGTAGAGTTGGGTGACAGTTTTCTGTGGGTTCATCAGCAACAGCTTTCAAATCAAACTGTTTTTCGATCCATTGCTCATGTGACTCTACTTTTCATAACATGTTGGGAACAATGTGATCACCCATACATTTTGAGTTGTTTATATGCAGAATTTTCACTGCTTTCATGAGTGTAAAAACTAATGTCATATAAAATCATTTCTTAAACTTCTGGTCATGGTTTAGCCTTAGCTCAAAACAGTTTTTGTATTCAGTATGTGTATACCTTGTACTAAAGCTGACCAACAGGGGCTCAGAAATCTCATTTATTAGTACAAAATGTCATATTTGAGAATGTGAGGCATTAAGACTCCAATGAAACCATAACGAAGATCTTTCCATATCTCTGCCATTTAGTTTGACACCAGCTGCACACCTTTCATTGCACAAGCCATTTTCAGAGGCGGATTCTGAGATAAAACATTGTAAATGTCACTACTTTCTCCCCCCTTTTTAAATTCATATCATGTAAAATATCTTTTTCTGCCTCTTTACTCTGGGTACAATTAGATTCCAGATAGAATCTCCCCAATAAGTGGCATATCTGTGACTTTGATGAGATAGAGTAGAAAGGGCTAATGACAGAAAAAAAAACTATTTCTTCAAAAGCTAGATAAGTAACTAAAATGGTCCACATCACTGCAACCCACAATGGTATCCTCAAGTGCTTAGTTAGAATCTCTAGAAAGATTGAATTGACTGAAATGTATATTGTTCAAGAGATAGTTACACTTCAATCTAATTACATGGTGCAGAGATATTTTCGAACATGTCAGCAATCTATTTAAATCAGACACTGAGCAGGACTGTTAATCATTAAAAGCAAGCAAGTCTGACTAAAATTGAGCTTTTTCCAGGCAAAGTATTTCTCATCGTAGTTAAGCAATCAGACATCTAAAGTGATGGACAATAAGAGGGTGCTTTTAGTCAATGTTGGCATACCATAGTTTTATTTATTGTGCATTAAAATACAATACGCTGTCTAGTGTTTTCATCTCAAAGTGTTTCTCTGAACATTCATGTCCCCTTAATAACATTTGCAGACATCAGAGATGCCTTGGGCAGCTGTTTGGTTCTCCCTACCATTCCAATTAATTCCTTCAGTCTCATTTCATTTGACTTCAATGTGAAATGGAAAGCCATGGTCAAATAATATGTAATCGTGAAGAGGCATGGGAAATGGGAGAGGCTTTCTAAACCATACAAAACTACACATGAACTGGACGTAAACAGGCCACACAGGAAGAAAAGAGCAATGGTCCTTTTCACTCATTTGATTGCAACTTCTACACAGACAAGGTGCTTGTGCCTATTCAATATCCCTGGTTCTCTGCAAATTTCTAAAAAGGCTGTGTCGGTTAGCACAGCCATAAGCTTGCTTCAGACTGAAGGACCCCTACACAAAACTGTCTGCTAAACAACACTATTAGCTGTCTGCCAAGAGTGCAGCCCGCACGTACAGTAGAGGAGGTGGTCTAGAAACAGCTTGGTGTCCAAACATAACTACTTCAGCCCTATGCAGCAACAGGTAGTGTCATCCATTCATTTGCAGTTTCAGTTTATTTTCACACCCCAATAACACTGTAATTTTTCTGTCCCATATTAGTTATTTAATATGCAGCTATAATACATCAGTAGTTTATGTTCATTGGCAAGATGTAAATACCCAAAGACACTTCCATGTCATATATTTGGCCAAAAATAAATTGCATGGTTAATGGAAACACTAAGTGTTGCTATGTCAGCCATTTGAAATATATTGCAAAGGCTGTAAGTAGCTATAGATAGACTTCTAGCAACATACTGTACTTGGATCCACAAAGTGATTTAATGTTGTTTTGCTTTCATTGCAAAAGTTTGATTTTCTCCGAAAATACAAGTGTAATTGCTTTTAATATCTCTACCTTTTATAATATTTTTGTTATCACTATTGGAAATGGTGGTAAAATCATAATTCCAATCACTAAGAGAAAGAGATATTTTGCACCCATACCAGCCTAGACAGAAGCCGAAACTAGGTCCCTGTGTAACTATGAGAGATGATAAGTATATATATGGAGAAACTCTAATCATTACACACTTAGCAAGGCTTAAATGTTCTTCCACAGCAACACGTCACCAAAATCTTCGAATAATTTTTCAGATGTGTTTCTCCAGGTTTCGAGCTATGGGTTTGAATGAGAGAGACAAAATATATTCTTGCTTAATGTCCTCTTAAATCATCCTTCGCTTTTAAATATAGGCTGTTTTAGATGCCGTTCATCTCCAGCTATGGACTAAAATGTGCCTTTGGATGGGTACCTTGCAACATAATTATTATGATGCAGCATAGCTTTTGAAAGCCAAAGTGTTTTCTGCCTAATATTGTTGGTCATGCCTTGACATGAGTCCAGTATTTAAAACAACCTACTTGTGCTGAAGTAGCCCTCTTATTGTTCACCGCTGTCTGTTTTATGCTCACACGATTTAAGGGATGCAGCAGCTTTCCAGCTTTCTAGGGCCGGCTTCCGAAAAAACTGATGCAACAATTTAAGATGATTTTGTACTTATGTGAAGCCACTCCAGAATTTCTTTGGTCTCGCAACAACGAATGAGGATAGAGGAGTGCAGCTGTTTGCTCTCAAGCCCGAGAACGCCTTTCAGTTCCCGCTTTTCTAGAACTTCCTCAAGCACCATTTTGCACAAGGAGCAGCAGGAAATACTCACAATGACACTAACAGGATATTCAGCATATTTATAAAAAAAAGTGAAATACTTTTCAGCCATTCAACTTTTCAGTCAATCAACACAACTCCAACCATAATAATTCTGTAAGTTATTACTGCCAGGCATTACATTTTTTTTTGTAAATGCTAATGATCAACTATAAATAGCTTCCACTGATGAAATGTCCCATCAGGTGTGTCTATCTTTTCTCTTTGTACTTCTGAATATGATGATTAAGTTATGATTTGGTTTTTGCTTCAGCAAGTATTTCTTTATTTTAAGTAATCATTTTAAAGTGCATCGTAAAGCTGCCTTGCCAATAAAAAAGACATACCACAGGAAATGAGAAATTGCACACTGAATGGGACTTTGCAACTTCATGAAGGTTTTTCATTTCTATTCGTCCTCTCACAGCCCATGCAGACATGACTGCCTTGATCACTACCCAGCATCTAACACAGTATGAGAAACTGGCTGGTTTACACAAATCTCAGCCTGCTATGATATCAGAGTAAATTACTATGTCTATTGAGAGACCTCAAGGAGAAATGCATGAAGGACGGATACGACAAACAGTATGCAACTTGCGGACTTACCTGGCAATGACAAAAAGGACACAGCTAACACCTAGGTAGGCCAAGAGGATGTAGACCCAGATGTCAGGAGTCATGGGGTTGAGGAAGGAGAAGAAGCCGTTGTTGGTGGTATTGGGTTTGCGGTACAGTATGCTGATGCCCATGTTCATGAAGGGCTTGGAGAAGTCGATGACCTTTTCACGAACGTAGGTTATGGTGAGAGGAGCCACTGCCAAGTCAGCTCTCTGTCGCGGAAAAACATAAAACATAAATAGAGAAAATCTGATTTCTATTTTAATATTAACAGTGTTTTTTTGGCAAAGCTTGCAGCGTTGCTCTGGAGTTCACAGCGTCTGTCTGTTGGTCCACCACTTTGGTCCAGACTGAAATACTGTATCGCACAAATGAAATTTGGTTCGGCAGTAATTTGTAGTTCCCTAGAATATGAATTCCAATGACTTTGGTGAGCCCCTGACTTGTCTTGTAGTCCCACCATGAGATTGACCATTGCTGCTTTGAGTAAAATGTATCAACAATTATTGAATGAATTACCATGTCCCCCTCAGGATGACTTTTGTTAACTTCTTTAACTTCTCATGTTGCACTTTTTTTCTAATACTTTGGTTTATGACCAAATAACTGCAAAACAAACGGCATTCCCATCAGCCTCAGCTTTTCTTTTAGTGCTAATTAGCAAATATTAACATCCTAACATACTCAAATGAGATGGTGAAGATGTCGAACGCTATACATGCTGCATGCTAGCATTGAACTTATGAGCATGTTAGCATGCACACTCAAAAAATATCTAAGCTATGTCCAAGCACTGTCTCACACAGCCACTGTAGACTCTTCCTCGTGCTATATCACTGATACTGTCAATTATTTATTGGGAGGATACAACCGGGTTATATATGGTCTGTCTTTCATTTGAAGTTTGGATACACACAATAACATATGGCGGTGGCACTCTCTGTGAAACGTACAATGTGAAGGTGAAATATGTTTCTGTCTCTTTGATGATGCCTTTCGCAATGCTCCAATGTATCAGATGCAGTGCCATCTATGAAGCCCTTATCTAGTGTCAATAGAATGACATATGACACCATATAGCTTTATGCAATGGACACGGCTGAGCATGACAAATAAGTTGCCGACACTATTATATGCGTTTGACTGCATATTCAGAAGGTGACCATTTAAATTTGCGGCCCCCACAACTCCCCTGCAACCCGGCTGGACGGGAGGTTAATGAAACCAGCTGCTTGGTTCACGCTCGGATAACTCTTTCCTCCGAGAAACGACACAACTCAAAAAAGGAGGCTTTCTTTTCTTCCTACATACTGAGGGGCAAGAGAGGAACAGGGCTTGTCCACCGCTCACCGTACAGCGTTTTCACCAAATAAAATGAGATCTCATGTTTGTTTTGGGTCTTTATGCAAAACCGTTAGACCTGATCCCACAGGAACTGAATCTGCAGGTTCCAAAGCCACACATAGCTTCAATCAGACGAAAATACATAGAGCTGAATGATGGAGCCATGTTCTGCAAACTTCTTGTGATGTGGTGTACTGTATGGCAACTTATTTGTTTTTTAAAAAACTGAAAACCACGTCAAGGCTGTTCTTAACATGAGTTTGACTTTCCCTGTGGTTTACACAGCTCATTCCTCAGATTCATGTGATAACTACCACATGGCAGTAAACAAAGGTCAGGAAGGAAACATTTCAACTTTGGGTCTGGCACTGCGGATTGTGCACTCCTGTGGTCAGCACCATGGTAGCTAAATACACGGTGGCCTCTGAAGAGATGGAAAGATGGGAAAACCGATGATTCCTGCCGTGCATCTGCTGTCCCTCTTAAACTATTCAAATTTGTACATCACATACCGGTCCCTCTGTTCTCTGCTGCCAACTGCAGCTTTGAACCAACCTGCCACTCAGCTGGAAGATCAACCAGCATGCGATTCCAAACATCCCTACGGTGCGCTAATATACATGCCGCATGTCCTCGTTCTGCTTTCTGCTTAGGCACACAAACTGGGCACAATCAAGATTACCTGATGTGCCATGCTGCGTGCCACATGACTCTGTGTTATCTGGGTTTGCAGATGGTGGGCTTAGTAGTGTTCTCCCTCCGGACCTCCTCACCTGATGATAAAGTCACAACTTACACGATCCATGCCTCTTCAATCCATTGACTGAACATACAGTACCTGAGCATTATTACCGTGAGCTCTTTCTTATTCTTAGTTTTTCTGAATTGATACAGCCGAGGACATTAGTGCATTTGCTACAGTGCCAAACACACAGTAATTACATACTGCTTACAACCAAGGCTTTTTATCTCTCAGCAAACATTTACACACTGTGCTATACGGTCTGTATGTGTATTTTACAGCTTGAAATCACAATGCTGATACAAGGATTGTATAGCACTTGCATATAGGGATCCCTTTGTTGCTCCCTTTCTCCTTTTTCAAACGTTTAGAGAAGATACGAGAGCAGATTTTGCTTCAGTCACCACCGATAACAGAGAGCAATTTTTGCTACAGGGATGCCGAGGAAATATAAAAAGCTCTGATTCGCCAGTTGAACATGCATTTAAAAGACCCATGATGAGAAATGGATGCACAGCGTGACCCTTCTTAGCATAACGGTGTAGATATGCCTCTTATGTCTAATGTCATGCTACACAAAGGGCTAATGATGAAGCATATGCAATGCAATCAAGCAACTGTTGCTATGTATTAGCAGTGCATTCAGACCCGTGATGGCCTGGAACTGTGATTTACTTAAGGGGGCTTTGACAGACGGGACAGACATGTTTGCTGTTGAGGCAGTTGAACTTTTGCCCTTGCAGCTACGGGTCAGTCACTCCCACCACCATGTCATCCTGTCGTCTCAGATCAAAATCAAAGCCGCACTTGTCCATTCACATGCTTTCCACCATCACCAAAACAAAATCCTTTGATAAGCATAAAAACAAAACAAAATGTGTGTTTTCCCAGAATACACATAACGTAGAGCAGCCTTTCATTCAGACCTAAATCTAGTCGACTAGTCAGTGTCTTTCATAGATGATGTAGGCTAGCTACTACCTCCCAGTGTATCTGTCGACGGGAACAGGAATTGCCATGACAGAAACAAATGATGTGCTAAGCACGCTATTAATATTTGCATCACAGCATGATTAAAGTGATCATCTATTATGACTAAATCAAGTTTAACAAGGCCTGTTGCATCATTTAGCACCTTCCAAACAATGCCCTTTGGCACCGCAGTGAGCTTTGTGACTACACTAAATAAAGGCTGTATGTTACAGAGTGCTAAATCGTTGCACTTGACAACGTTGCAGTTTGTCGAAAAATAAAATCGCATTATAGTATGCATCCAAAAATATAGGCAAACACATACTTCGCTCTATTTCTATGATCTTATTTTTTTAATTACTTTCAACAACAAAGATACAGGAATGACATACAGATTGGCAAGTAGGGTTGGATACAGGTTAACAACATATAGAATACTAAAATAGAGCCATTAACTGTAGCTGTGCATGGGGAAGAAGATGTGTGGTGAATATTAACTGTTGGGAAGCAGCTGTGTGGCGTTAGTTTGGGCATAAAAATATTTGAGGCAATTGTGGCGGCAGTGGTTAATAGGACGACAGAAACTGAATAATATGCGTGGATGAATGACTCAATAAATAAATAGAAATGAATGTGGGGAGAAAGACATTTCCAGTAAATCAATATGTGACAGTAATAATATTTAAATGCTTTTCATTGAATTGTTCAAATTGTTGTTTTTGTAGAGCTGAGTTTTATTCCAGTGTTATCTGTTCTGTTGAAAGATTTAATCACAATGAAATGGTAAGTTTGATTCTGTTTTTTCCAGTTTCAAAGAATAGTTTTCTTGGCAATAGTTCGATGCTACCAGTAGAAATGTTGTGATTTGTTTATGTGATGTGTCCAGTATGTCCGAGTCTCCCCATTATGCACAGTGAAAAGGAACTGTGATTTATGATGGTGCACTATGTGAGCTGATAGCATGAATGCATGAGCCTTGTGGTTAGCCCAGTTTTATCAGCTCAAACTAACCGCTTTCCCTAGTTTTCCACCTCACACCTTATCTAATGCTGTGATCCATTTTTAAGCAAACGCACCGATCCCCCGTAAACTGTTATACATCTAATCTGTCTGTATAACAAAGAGGGGGCAATAGGTTTTTAAGAGGTTAATAGAAAGTAGTTATGAATACAAATTGAACAGACAAAAACTATGACAATAGCAGTTTTTTACTTTTCCCTTGTTTATCTCTTTGTGTATGGTGTACACAATGAATGCAATTCATGCATACAATATCTTTCATAAATTGTATTTAGTATAAGATAAGATATATAAGAAAATAGCATTTTACAGTACATGTAACAGTTCTAGTTTGAGTTGGGAAGAAATACAGAAGTTATTAGTTCAGTGACGGCGATGCTGTAGTTTGAGGTTTACTCCCAAGGAATCTGTAGCCTCTCATATCATTCCAGGGTCAGATCTCCTGAGCTTGAGTTAAAGTTTATGTTTCAGGTCTGCTGAGTCACGGATCAGCTTGTCCATACCGACAGGGGTAAGAAAAGCACCAGACCACAAAATAGAACCCACTAAAAATCCACAAAGCAGACTTCATGCACCCTTGGTTATGCGATAAGGAGCAGTAAAAGCAATAAATAGTGGTATAGATTCTAATCTTCACTTCTGCTGGTATTCACAAAGGCAATAAACCTACTGAAAAGCTCAAATATACAAGTAAGTTCTAAAAATTCTTGCATATATACATCTTCAACTGTATTTTTCTGCTGATTGATTCTTTCTCTTGTGTAAAACACAAGCAAATGGAGCAAATTGGTGGTATGGTATGTGTGTGTGTGTGTGTTCACCAGCTTCCGGTCATATTTAGAGTAAGTTCGGTCCAGACGTCTCAGTCCTCACCTAATGCTACATCTTCACAAAACACATGTAAACCATATGTCACAAACAATAACGGCAAAAACAGTTTTTTTCTGCTGTGCTGTAAAAATCTCCCTTTAAACCAAGAACAGGCTAATACAGAGAGCATATGTGCTGTTTAATGATGGAGTCATGCATCTCTATATCTCGCCAGAATTCTCTACCCTTTAGTAATCCATTTGTTCCCCTCAAGGTTATTGTTATTAACATGGATCTAGCGAAAAGCTTGGATGGAGAAATAAAGTGCTGCAGTGGGAGCCCACCTTTCCCAACCCTTTCAGCACCAAGCCATTGACTCCTGCCATACGATTCCCTGCACTAAATGCCACTTAAGCTATTACAAGTTTTCAGCTGAGTACAGCGCTGACCCGATGGGGCTGAGGACAAAGAGAGAGCACCGACAGGGACACTTATGAAATGCCAGCAGAGAATTGCCACCATCACTTCGGTGTGTGGCTGTTTCATGGCCGCTGAGGCTTTGAGTTTGACAAAGACAGCTGAAATGCCCACTATGCCTCACCAAGATGATTGTCGCTGAGTTCTCCTGCATCCTGACAATATATGCAGGATCACATGCTCATCCTGGATCTCTGGCTTATCCAGCTGAAGGAAGTGGTTTGCCTCTCTGAATGACATCAACACACTTGTAACTTTTAGGCAACCTTGACATAATTGTGCCATAAATGTAACTGACAGCTTTGCAGGCTCTTCCTGACTTGTATTCAATCATAACTATATCACTGCCCACACAGAGGACATAACCTTCAATTTAGTTCAATGGCATGCTTTTGTAAGTTTGCGTGATGATGTAAAATATTTTTACGGCGCGTGAAGCTGCATAATTTTAGAGATGCAGCACATCATTACAGTCATTTTTTTTGAAGGAATAGTCATGCAGGAATAGTTTGACATCATGAAGGAATAGTTTGACATTTTGGTAAATATGCTCATTAGCTTCCTTGCTGACAGTTAGACAAGAAGATTTATACCTCTCTCATGTTCGTACAATAAATCTGTAGCTGAGGCCAGCAGTCGATTAGCTTAGCTTAGCATAAAGACTGTAAACATGTGCCTGGCCCCATCTAAAGGTGACAAAACTAGTACCTCTGAAGCTCACTTAAACTTAATTTGTTTAATCACAACAAAAAACAAAATCAGGTTTTTTTTAATATCCTGGACTATTCCTTGGTTGAGATCCGTAACTTCTTGGAGTTCCCTGGCAACTGCTAAGCTTGCAACTTGGCATGAAAGCAAATGGACATATTTTACAAAACGTCAAACTGTTCCTTTTAAGAAAAAATGTGAAGCAGACAACATCAAGTACAACTTACATGCTCTATAAGTTCCCTGATCATGCCGTTCCACTGGCCCTTCTCGTCCTGGGAGCCGTATCTCCCATCAGGCACCAGACGGATCTCATACGTGAAGCCCAGGACGCTGGCCAGCTCTTTGAGCAAGTCGATGCAGTATCCTTCGAAACGGTCATTCCCAACCAACGCCTTGTCAGACTTCTTAAGCATGACGTATGGCTCCTCCTGTACAGACCCAAAAGATCAAATGAAAAGCAATGTTGAGGTCAGCTTTTTCAATTTGTTTCAGCACATGCACTTAATTGAAGCAAAGTGATCTGAGCTGATGAGTCGCTGTTGCATTTAACAGGCAGTGACAGCAGATTCAAGTTCAGCATGTGGGTACAGGGAGTGTTCAAATATGAAAGACGGCTGAGGTTTTTCCTACCCTGATGTATTAAAGAAAGGAGAACCCAGCTAATTTAAGTCTGTGATGTAAAGTGTCTTGCTATAGTGATGGTAATGCACATAAAATGAATGTTTGTGCTATCAATGTGCCTGTAGTGTTGAGCTAACTAAACCTACTCTCTCCCCCACACTGCTGTGTGTTGACCTATATAGCTGGTGTACAGGTCGGTTCGTTTTATGGTCAGGTAGCTGACACTCTTTACTGGCCTGTAATATCTTGCCTGGCTGCTCATAATTTGGGCTATATAAAAGCTTGATTAGGAACAGAATGCCGCAGTGAAATGGAACATGCCCACGATGTTGCCTTCATCAATTGACACCAATCTCCAGGGGAGAGCAACAGAGATGAAGCCTGCAGTGAGAATGACTGACACAGAATTGCTCATAAATGGATTCCTTTATCTAGTGCCTGTTGCCATTTCCCTGCCTGATAAACTCGCATGTCCCACTGTGCATTGCAAAACATGTTGGTCCATATATGCAAGGACTGTAATACAGTTTACAGCCAGGTGCTATTACTGAGATCAGTAGCAGCGTAATTAATTCTCTGGTGAAGGTGACCCTTGCTTTGTGTTCTCTTTTTTTTTTCAACTGCAGCTTGTGTGGCACTAAGTAAAAATATACAGTCAAAGAGGAGAAAATAGGCAGCAATTTCCATGGGTTAAAGTGGAGGTGATGAGGGTGGAGGTTGGGGGCAATGAAAATAAAACAAGTGTTGGTAGTCTGTTGAGCTCAGTTTCATGCAATGAAGAATGTAAAACTAACATCAAGAAAGACATAATTTATTCTGTAAATTCTAACGAAATAAAATTCAGAGAAATACATGCATAAATGATAAACATCTTTAATTGTTTGTGATCAAAATATGAAGCCACTTGGACATCACAATTAGGATGGCCTCTTAAATAAATAATAAGTTATGAATACATGATGATGACAATGCATTTAGAGAGCAAATGCTTAGCCACCAACTTTGCTCAAGTTGTCCAATTAACTTGATCAAAAAGTTTGCATGTTAAGGGAAAAAGCCATTACCATCTGTTTCTAGCCTTCCAATTTTTGCTATTCCCCGAGGTTTGGACTCAAATCAAAGTGTTTATACCAGCTCTACCCTCAGTCGCAGCATGGGCGTGCATAACAGAACAAGGAGGGAGGTGGGCTCGCACGGAGACATTACAGGCAATGGAGTGCAAACAATTAATGTAAGAGGGAAAACACATTAAGTGCCTTAATCTCTTTGAGAAAGTTATCACTATAAAGCTGTCAGACGTCTTGTTCAAGCATCACTGGAATCAGTTTGATGCAATGTCATTACATTGGGGGGGGGAGATTGATATTAAAGTTGAAACTCTCTTCAGCAGTTTGAAAGTAGGCAATTTTATCATCTTAAACTAATGAATCCCAACGAAATAGCAACTGTCAAAAATACTCAAATGCACTTCAAGACAAAAAATTATCAAACATTTTAGGTAACTTGAAATCTAACTGATACACATCTACATTAACACCACTTCAACTGCAACATAGAATCAGCCAATACCGGCATTTCCTAGTGCAGTAGTTCAATATTATACCACTTAAATCCTTGTTCAATTTCTCCTCTTTGAGACGGAAGTAACATGGATGGCACCTGATAGGAATTAATTACGTCCTGCCTTGACCTCACTTGTCATAATTACAGCCTTGTGGTCCAATATAGGCATAATGATGGTGTTTATCCTTGTAGCTGGTATATCTATCCTGAAAAGGTGCAGGAGGGGGAGCATCTGTGTCAGCACCTCCCCGGTAGCTCCATAAAGACCCCAACATCCAGTGACAGCGTTAAGTACATACAACTAGGGATCAAATGAATGCGATGGGAAGCTGGGGGAGGGTTCACCTAGTTCTTTCTATCTGCACGTGTAATTATTGCGTTCTCAAGAATAGTTCATTCTGTGTAACTGTCTATTACTTTGTTTTTTTGTGCTCCAGGCCTCATTTAACATGCTCATGATGTGACTTTAGAATCTAGTCTGAATCACTGATAATTTAGGGTCCTGTTACTAAACCTGTAAAGCCTCCCATTCTTGCACAGCATACTTATGCAGTTTATAATGATGGTCGCAGATCCAACATTTACAATTCTTAGAATTTTTTCAAACAATGAGCCCTTGGTTTTAGACAAAAGCAGACTTCTCATTATGGTCTCTTTCATCAGATGTAGCTAGCTAGCTAATTAAGCTCAAGTTAGCTCAATGAGGTGGTTGAAAGCGCTGTCTCACTTCTTTAAACTTGTTTTAAAAAACCCTTAGAACCCTGTAAAAAGTGTCTAAAAGGGCCAGTGTGCATTTTCAGGGATTTATTAGCAGAAATGGAATATAGTATTCATAGCTTTTGTTTTCATTAGTGAATAATCACCTGAAACTAAGAATCATATTTTTGTTAACTTAGAATGAGCCCTTCATATCTATATAGAGTGCGGTTCCTCTTCACGGAGTCCGCCGTATTGCACCGCCATGTTTCTACAGTAGCCCAAATACAAAGCCTTTTGCGTTTTGGTGTTACCTGAAGGCCACCGTGGTACACCAACACACATCTAAAACTGCATTTTGACCTGCAGAGTGCAAAACCGTGGTACCGTCATGTGCCGTCTGACTTCCGTTGCTCCTATAGTAGCGTTATTAAGGTAATGATGGCCTCTGAACAAGGCAAAAAGCATTACCACAGCTTTGCACTTGGCGGGTCACGTCACTGCAGTCTTGGAAGGGGAGGAGCGAGCACAAGGGTATTCAGTTGGTTGCAATCTGCAATCACACCGCTAGATGCCACCAAATCCTTCACACACTGCTCGTTCAAATATATGCAAGATGGCTACATACATGATCATGCTGAAGAGCTGAATGACACACACAGAAATAGCATTGTTTTTGTACGGCAGTGTAGAAATAGTTTGTGTTTTTTTGTCCGAGCAAGTAAGCAATAATTTAGAATTGTACTGTGTACCTTATATACTTACATATTCTTATTTCACTTTTAATAGAAACAAGAAATAAAAGGAGTAGAAGGTTACCAAAAGGTTGGACAAACTTAAAGCCATTTCGTGTAATTTCTTTGGTGAACCTGGAATGTAAAGTTCCCCAAATATAAATGAAGAGCAAGACAGAGCCAGCAACATTAGTCTAAACTCTTAAATAGTGGCCTACCCACAGTGGGGGATACTCGTAAGGTAGCCAGGTAAATGAGCGAATGTAAATTGAGCGTACTACTTCCAAATGCTGCAATAACTATAGAATAAAACGTGGCTAATGCTGGAAAGAGCTAAATATATGACCTTGCTGTAAAGCTTGAATTTCAGTGTATTACCTGACAGAAAACTGAGGAGACATGAAGGGTAGGATATATTTTACACAAGGCTACACAGGTTGACCTACCAGGATGGTGGAGATGACGAGAGAGCGGTTAGCTAGGGAATCAGTGATGTTCATCCCTTTTCGCTTCGGCAGTTCTGTGATGTTAAGACCTCCCGACGTACTCCACTTCCCCACCTGCGGAAGACGAAAAGCATGTAGCTAAGTGTTCTGTGTCTGTTGGTGTGCTATGACCCCAGCAGACTGCCCCTCCAACCAGTCTCCCACATTAGTGCCATTGAACACATCTCCAGCAGCATTAGATGATTGGCTGAGTCACCTTTATATCAGCAAGCCAGGTTGTTTTTGAAAGCAGGGGGTATTAAGGTGTATCTTGAAAGAAATCAAGCATGATGGGCAAATCACAGAAACCGGAATCATTTGATGAATTGTATGTTAAAACAATGAATATTATTTTAACAGAATAAAATACTGTAGATTGCAATGAGATTTTCAAAACATGTAAACTGAATCACCTTCCCTCATCTTCAAACTAAGCTGTGCCACTTTTTCATGCAGATGTTGCCATATTTTACATGAATCAATTTAAGCAGACAAATAATGCTTCATTATATTGTATTGGTTTCTGACGTGGTGTAAAAGTGCATGAAAAAGAAATATAAGGCTAAACAATGGTGCTAAAACGAGCAGAACAATGCAATTATTGCAAAAAAAGGTTACAGTTAATTTGAATGAAGGTACATTGAAGGTACAGCTGCAGGTTGGATTGCACTGTAAAAGCAATTTTGCTCTGCAGCCGCAGTGAGATAAACCAAGAGATTTGAAGAAATAAAGGGATACATGCAAGAAGCCCTTAGGCAACAAGCTCTGCATATTGTAGGGACACACTCTGGAACATACGTTAGCACAAATAGTCCGGTGGCTGTCGGTAACAATCTCTGTTTGCAAATCGAGCCCTCCACCAAACACTCCTCCTATATCCCTCTTGCTTTCTTTATTACTACAGACACAGCTTTTAATATTCACTGGGGTTTGTGCTTGAGGTCGATCCATTTAAAAACATACCCCCCCCCCCCACAAAAAAAAGCATGAAAAACGTCTGTTAATGTCCTCCCTGCCTAATCCAGAGAAAGGCATGTGCTCTAATTTGAAAAGCACATTAGTTACAGCTTGTCACACAACCAAAGAGGACTCCAGGAGAGAGATTTAAAAATATCTCTGAATGCTTTCGGCTTTGCAAAATTCTCTTCTAATTGTACCCAATTACAATTAGCTTCATTCACTAAACATGATTAGCCAAATATTTGAATCAAAAGTTATTTACTCATGCAACCACATGGAGAGCATTACATTTATTTCACCCTCCTGAGTATGCTGGCGTTGAGTGGAAGTGGCACTCTGAGAACCTGTTCATAATTCCAGCAGAAGCTCAAACTTGGGCTAATATTCAATTACAATGGATTAGTTGAGAAAAGTCCACATCTTAACCGGCTCAAACACTTAAAGCCGATTCCACGGATATACACGAGAGAAAAAAATCCTCAGCCCGCTGCTGGATCAACGCTAACATGCTCCAGCGTGGGATTTGTCACAGACACAATGAGAAGATGTTAATATGGCATCAAATACTTTTGCAAGATTTCTGTGCTTCAACTTAATTGACCACACGCAGGACAAGATGCCAGTGAAATAGAAAAGAAGAATCATTTCAAAGCAGCAATTTTTCTTTCTTGAACAGAAGGGTTACAAGCTGAAAAGCTGCTTCTATTTTATAGCGTGGAGCCTTGAGGGAGTACTTGAGGAAGTCATAATGGGACTTATCCCTATTTGATGTATTCATAATGTATGAAAGCCCTCTAGTAGAGAAACGCTGTTATAGTCCAGGGGGTACTTTGCCTTCCAGTATAATAAAATAAGTTCTACATTACCAACCTTTGAGTTCGTTTTTTGTGAAACATGTTTATACAGCTCATTACCACCAAACAGCATTTGGGGCATCACCTCAAATCATCATTAAGAGAGGCTGCAATTAACACCCTAATGTGTACCCTAATCCAATTTGCTTTATGATCCACTAACTTATGCTTATGTTGAAACAGCCAATTTGCCTCCTTGTTAGGAGGTAAATGATACCGTCAAATTTGCATTATTCGTTCCACATCAAGAGGAAAATATCTGAAACGTATTTGTGAAATCAATAATCCATTAAATTCTTGTTTTATGGTATATTCATTACAGAAGTTCCACTTTATTGTACACTGCATGGGGTGACACATTGCTGCTGTTCTTTTATTCCATCGAAGTAAAAAATTAAAGAGACAGAAATGTACCTTTTCAAGTCCCTCCTCCTTTAAACTGATGATGTCCAGGTCGAAGTCTGTACGTAGACCACTCGTCTTGTTGAATGACAGTCTCCCCGTCAAACCATCCCAGTGGGACTGAAAGATAACATGTCGACATAGTTATACTCAGTCAAACACATTCATGTAGTTTAACATTGTTTAACATTGCAAACCTTGTTTTGGTAATGTAGAATACTGCACATAAGAGTCTAAACCTGTACAATCTCATGCAATCAATACATTCGGGGTGCTTATAATGCCTAATTTTTGACCAATCAGATCTTATAAGAGATGCTGATTCAGCCAAGTATTGAGGCTGTAGTTTAGAATGCATTGCATTATATCATGTTGCCACTATTATGTCACGCCTACTGTCTAGAACAAAGAATTTGATACACATTACAATATGACAAAAAAATAAACAAATAAGCAGAGAGCAATGTACGGCTATCAACAAAGCACAACACAGTACAACACCCACTAACTTCTAGCTTACTAGATCAAAAGTACAAACACAAACCGTACAGGTTGCATTTCCTTTTTTTAATTACATTTTACATCTCAACGCCTCCAACGCATTTCCCTCCAGACTACGGAGTTAATTAACAACCACCTCTTTTTGCTTGATTCCCCATGGGGGAGTTGGGGTGCGGGGGATGTGTGGTGGACACATGGACAAGATATATTTTTTAGCTTTCTCGTTCACTCCGTTTGTCTCTTGTGATCTTTCTGCATAAACAGGTTTTTAGTTGTCGGGCGGTGTCACTTTCATTCAGTCACAGTCTGTGATGCAGGCACTAGATCTCAAATTACTATCGGTACAATAGAGTAATCAATCCTTGTGTGTCGAGTTGCTGCGCTTTTATGATTTTTAAAAATCCAAACTGTCACAACCCTACAGGCTATAGCTCTCACTTGTCTTTGTTGTAGCTTGCCAGAATGTGTTGTGAGAAGATCGAAGCTTCAAGGATACATTTGTGGCACTCTCCTTTTTCAAACCCCCTCATACCTCATTCCATCTGGCCTATCGCCACCGAGGTGGGTGGCATGTTCAAACAGCTCTAATTCAGAGAGTGACATAAATGCCTCAGCCACATCCCACCCGAAGGGCCAAGTCGACCTTCAGAACATGTCAGACGCCTGTCTAGAAAAGAGTGTAAATCAGCCCAGAGTATGTGTTTTTATAACCAAACACTACAGTACGTTTGTATAGGGACTACGCAATACTATTTCACTGGCTTTAGTCGTGATCACTACAGGTCACTATAGCTGCTCGTAGTACAGCTCGCTGGGGTAGCTAACAATGCTCACTGTTTCAACTGACCTCATCCACCACACAAGACATTGTTTGTTGTGCATTGTAATGGTATAGGCCTTTTTGCGATACTATGTTTGCACATTTGGCAGACAAGCAGGAATCGCTGCTACAACTCATACACAAACAATAGTTTTCATCGATGTTGTGCCAGTTGGCGATGTCAAGCTAAGAAACATAATAATATGGGGCATTCCAGAGCGCAATTTTACACTTTATACAATACGTTCTTGCTATGATAGAAATGGTTGAAAACAGCCACATCATGAATGTAAGGATTTTGTGTTTGCATTTTCTCAGCTTCCAGCATACTAAAAATAAAGATGCAGTAATGTTTTCTTTGTTGATACGTCGTTACAAATGAATGGTTACACATTGTAATTCTAGCTCTATAAAGACAGGCTTCAATAGTGTAGGCTTGACCCCCTATTTTTTGCCAAACTGCATACTGAAAATCAGATTACATGTACTTTCAATTCATCCCTAAAGGCCTGGCCTGCCCTCACCACCTCCTTCGTTTTTTCCCCTTATTTACTAAGTCTTCAGAACCTAAAGGAAGCAGCAGGGAAGGCTGGTTTGAGACCCCCAGCTGTATTTATAGAGCCAAGGTTACTGTAGATTCCCACAGTTTTATCTCTCTAAGAGGCCTCTATAAACTTAAGGGGCTATGCACGATAACTGTCAACTTGTCTCTCTGGAGTGGCCAAGTGAGACTGCATTAGTAGAAGACCAGAAGACACACAACTAATAAAACTATATATAGCTGTGGGCAATAGCCAACACTGGTCTTAGTGTGCTGCACTGAAAACAAAAAGCACCAGTCTTAAATCCTTAAGACTGGTGCTTAAGTCCCTTTTTAGTGCAATGCACGGACCTCAAGAAAGTCCTGAATACACATGGACTGTCATCCTTGCTCCTGAACAGAAAGGATGAGGGTTTAAAACATCTATCCAACCCCTGCTATATTTGCAGCTCAAGAGGAAATGGTTGGTCCTTGTATTTGAATAGCAGTGGAGAGAACGAGCCTGCTACCACTATGGAAGATCAGCCTTTGCTCTCTGAAGGTCTGAAGGACGTCGCGTGGCCTGCTGATGAAGAAACGCCTTGGAGGAACCACCAGCGCTGGCCATTTCAAATCTTCCACTTATCCATACTTTCTTTCAAAGCAGATGCTTCTAGCGACACAGGTTGAGGGGCATACACACATGCCTCTGTGCACCTGGGTTGAAGGTACAGATCAGTGGACCTACAGTGTATGAAAGACACTGCTTACCCACTGCTCCCTCCTTTTTCTGATTTGAGGAAAACTGCAGGACAGGCAATGGCACAGTATGACAGAGGAGTTATGTTTTTTGTGTCATCTGAAGGTGGCCAGCCACAGCCACAATGGCAGCTTCCTCTTACTTTGGTCTTGGTTCCTCAGTGTTGTAGCATTTTTACTTTTTAAAGTCTTTAGCATCTCGATGGAGAGAGATGTCGTCATGCTATGATTAGGTGAGTAGGGCTCAGGAGATCTATGGCCACAGTCTCACTGTCATCACAGTAAAGCTCAAGAGGGATCATCCCTGGAAAATACGCCAAAAAGCATGCTTGGGACTTGTATATGCTGGCAGGATGCTTAGCACTGAGGCACGTAAAGACCTAACCTGTGCAGGACACAATCTTTGGACAAAGCCATGGGCACTGAACGTAAGTTGTCAGCCATTTTGCTAATGATAAGTGGATGAGAAAAGAGGTTTAGCTCTGCCATTTTATATGGACAGCCCCCCATAGCCATCATTCTGATTGCTCTGTGGGTATATGTAAATTTATTGGGCAGTTACCACAGATGAGGGATCCTGGTTAGAGGGCGAAGCCTGTGTGAAATACAGCAGATCCAGGAGGTTAAAGCTTTAATTTTGAGATAACAGTGGCAATTAAAAGAGGGAAAAACAAATGGAATTCCTACCGTTTGTAAACCACACCCAGGACAAATAAAAATACAAATGATTTTGTTGTTTGAACAAATCAAGATACAAATAGAAGCATCTCTGTACACCCTTAATCTGCCATTTTGCAGAGGCTTGTTTGTGTATTCCGAGGCAGTGTCAGACTCTCATGTTAGATTAAATAAGAGCCGACTACACTAGTTGTGCTTTCAAAAGGTTACAGTACGTGCTTTTCTGGAAAATAGGTTATGAATACAGGGGATTTATGAAGCTGACAACAACACTGCTTTGATGTGTCTATCAAGGCTTGGTTTGCTTTGTGTATGGATATGATTGATTTGCTGGGTAAATATCCGAAGTCCCAAATGACTACACAGTCCACAATCCACTGCTATTGTCATGTTCGCCACTCAGTCATTATGCTCTAATATCAATAATCAAATAACAACAGGCCAAATATGTCCCATCACCTCTTTGATGAAACTCATGAAGCGCCCTCCAAATCTCCAGGGTTTGTGGCGGTGGCACTGCAGCGAGTTTACCGTCATCTGTGGAGCGTGCTGGTATGAGACGGATACAATGTGGACTGCATCATAGGTCAGAGCCGCATCTGTCTGGAATAAGGGGTGAACATTAATTCAGCTGATGCCTGTGGAAAAACATGAATAATGGTTTGGTCACCATCAAACTAACATGGAAACACCCAAAGGAATTCTGACAGGATTTTTCTCAAATCACTTTTTAGTGCAGACATTTCATGTTCAGATCAATTATATACTTTATAATTGTCTTTCATTTTATTACATGATGTAGTCTTTAAATGTGTACTTTATACAACAACATTAAAAGTTATTAACATACATAATTTCATTATTAAAATGTATGTATATATATATATATATATATATATATTCTCACCTGATAATTCAGTAAATATTGTTGTTTTCGTCTTGTTTACATAACTGACACATACCCTCTGCACCTTTAGACAGCATCAGTTATTTGGACTTAGTTGCTGTATGCTGTTAGCCAGTGTACAGCAACATATTTTCATCGATTTAAAAGCAGGTTAACAATCCTTTTCGTTTGAACTCATGGTGATGGCCAGCATATACTGTAGTTTTACATTTTGGATAACATATCTGTAACAGTCTGAGTTCTCCACCAGAACAGCCTGAACAGCCTTTATTTAAGGGTGTGAGTTCAACAACAGCTGGATGCCTTCCATAAACATCTTTCTGTTTGGATGGCATAATTACATTTCTGCAGATTTGTTTGTAGCATATTCATGTCCTGTCTCATCCCAAACGGGCTGTAGTGGGTTTGATATCTGGACAGTGTGGCCATTGGAGTAAGCCAAAGTCCCTATCATTTTCCTAGAAACATATTGAGACAATGGTGCATTATCCATTATAAACTATCCATTTGAAAAAGATTGGCTGTAAAGGGATGCACCTGTTCTGAAACAATGTGAAGGGAGAATGGCGTGTCCGAGGGATAATTGGTGTGTAAGGGCTCAATGAATGTTCTCCACAGCATTAGATCACCCCCATCTGTACAGTTGAAAGTGTAAAAGATTACCCAGTGGATTTGTGCTATTCTTGCCAATATTTGACCCTGCCATTAACAAGCCAGAGCAGAACCAGGAATGTTCTTCTGACGAGGCGGCGTTTTTCTTCCTCTTCAATGGCAGAGTACATCAGTGAACTTTTTTCACTTTTAAAGTTTATTTTAATAGTTTCACTTATTCTACCTTTTGGATGATTTATTTTTTAATTTATTTTGTACAGTCTTATGGTTGTGTGCTTGTATTGTGCTGTTCTTGAGTTTTTCTTTTTAACACTGTGATTGTTTTCCTCTTTTTATGCCGTTCATGGGTTTAATGCGCGACAGCTTGTCCTTTCTGAGACCTCTTGTATATATACTACATGGTTCACTAGGTTATGTACATACCTTGCATACCTCTGCTATATGAAAGCTTGAATGGTTTTAGTCTTCTAACCTCTCTAATCAACAAGAAACATGAGTAATTAGGAGGCATTGGGGGTGCACACGTTCCAGGACAATAGTTGTTTATTAGGAGCTGGACTGGTCGGTATGGTACTAATAGTCATACCACTGTTAAAATGATTTAAAATATCTTCCCCATTCAACATTTCGTTGAACTGTCGCTGAATCTCTCACATCTGTTTATCACACATATTTTTCTTCATATATGAGCCACAGCCTGAAAGAGTCAAACTGTTAGAATAGATCAGAATGTGTACCTATTAAAGTGGTTATGGTAAGTAGTGATAGCAGTTGCTGAGGTAAAAGAGTTTTTGTTAATGGTTTGGTGTTAAAGTTAAAGCCATTTCTTACCATGGGCAAAAGCCATGATAGATAGACCGACAGATAGATAGATGCGGTGGTGCCTTTATATTGACATTTTTGTGACTGACTTTAGATGGAACACAAAAGTAATAAAACATACCGTCATGACGCCCTCCAGCAGGCCCGAGTCAGGTTTAGGAGGAATCTGCCTTTCCATCGACCATTTCTCCACAATGGATCCGACCTGGGGATTATCCACGTTGAGGATGCGGAAGCCGGTCATGTTCACGCCACAGAAGCGATATGGCTCCAGGTCAATGGCCATCAGGTCCTTTTGAGAGACAACAGCAATGAAGGACGGATTCTTGTTTAGTCTGCCAGCATCGAGCATCCTCGTTTTAAGTATTCATCCTGGATGCTTTCTCCTCACATGAAAAGAGAATGACGCAGCTGCTCATTAAAGAGATGCTATATTAAGACCAAATAGAGTGAAAGGGAGGAGAAACACAGTAGTTTTCAATGTCAAATCAGGAGATTTAAGCATGGTGTCTGGAAGCAGTGTCTGTGTAATAAATGAAATATAAAAGGGCTCTGGTGGCGGAGTCGCTTTTCTGCTGGCAAACCCTTTTAGAATTGACAAATTGTTATTGTTTTTGTGCCTCCGTGATAGTGAATTACACTGCACAAAGTACAAGCCTGTGATATATTTTGTCATTCTTAATCATGTTCATGTAAGGGAATCTTTATAGGTGCAAATTTCTTATTCGGGAGTAGTTATTGTTTGTAGCTTAGACATATTAAAGAACAAGAATAAAAACAAACACAAATTCCGTTGGATCATATTAATAATTCAACACTTGCATTCCCTTGGCAACTTCCCTCAGCAATTCAATTTAAGCCGCTGTAATTTCTGGGGCAGCCATTGTAGCTGAAGTGTGAAGTCACATGTTGACACATGTCGTGCTGGAATAGGCCAAGGGGCTTGGAAAATACATTTGGATGAACATAGATATTTCATTAGCACCCTGTGGGGTTAGAGCTGGGGGAACGACAGCGTGTAAGACACTTACTAAGGAACGGTCGCCGCCAGTCTCTGAAACATTTCTCCTCTTTTATTTCTTCCCCACCAGATCTCGGTACAGTAATGTCTTTTGTGAACAGAGATCAAAGTAAATCACTGTTGTTCTGTATGACGTTAAAAAATGCTCAGAAAAGTAGATCGGGTTACAAGTTCCCTCTCTCTTTGAAGCTACGAATCCAAACTAACTGGGACAGCATTGTTTGTAAAAAATATAATTCTTCTTTTGTGACATGTCAGAAAAGTGACTTGTTCCAATTATTAGTTCACTTATCTGTTTTTTTGCATTGCTGCCTTCTACACACACACATTTAAAACACAAAATCAACAAAATCCTACAGCACCATCACACTGAAATCTTTACCCAGAGAACATGCTGTAGGTGTCTGAGTGCATACAGAAGTGTTGTGGAGGTGGCAAGCATAACAAAGTTCTCAGCTTCAGGTTCTCAAAGATAGCTGTGACAGACTCATTTTAGAGGACAAGGAAGTTATTATCCCCATACACTGCTGTTGCCTTGTCACGCTCTAATAAGTCGGCATTTCCCTCACCTCGGAAGATAAAACACAGACAGCAGTGGATTCCATTGAGAGGAAAATGTATTGCCATGTATACCACACAAGTATTCATCATTTTGGATCAAATCAAGCCGCCAGGTGTTATCTCCTTAATGGTGTGTCTATCAATATAACAGCTTATTGCAGCATCAGATTGATACCACACTCCTGATTCTATAAAGATATCTCCTGCCTTCATGCGAAAAATGCTGTTGTCGTGGAAAATCCTATCAAATAAAAGTTTCAAAGTTAATCCTCTTGTAAATATTTTCCCCTTCCATGTGTTATGAAACTGTTCCACTCAAACACATGAACCAATATATTGACAATAAAAAGGAGTTTTTGAATCCCTTTTTTTTAAGCAATAGACATGCAATACAAACACAACGTATTGACGGAACAGTGTCGTAGCCACGCTGACGAGTGTGAAAGATGACACACGTGATGCCTGGACCGTTGTGTCACGTCACTTTATCACAACAGACTGGATGAGTCCGGAGAGACAGGGAAGGGTGTGTGTGCGCGAGAGAAGCAGAAACATTGATGATAACAGAGAGTGAAAGGAACAGCACAGATCGTGCTGGTATTCATTCCCATTCAGTCTGTTTGTCTCCAGATAGGCAGCGTCCCAGTGACGAGCAGCAACAGCTCCCTGCTGGGTCTGCTTGTATTAGTCAGACGGGAGATCTCTTTTTTTTTTTTTTATCAGAGTGAGAACTTAAAATGCTCAAGATGGGAATGAAATAGTGACATACCCAAGTCACGTTTAATATATCTGTTACTGAAAAAAGAATGTTCAAGCCTAAATCAATTGTAATTTTAAAGGATAAGGTTGTCGATATATATATATTTTTAACATTTAATATTAAATATATTGTGACTTTAGTTTATAGAATGTAAGAGCTCACAAAGGATCAATTTCGGTCTTTGTAACTTCGGAGCCACATTCAGTTGTGAGTCTCAAGCTGTTGACTTCGTTTGACTTCACTATAAAGGGCAGTGTTTACTACAGCACACTGGAGACGCCATTATGCCTGCAGCTTGTCAAACAAAATTGATATTATGGACTGGATCCAAACCCCATTGGCAATTAGCCACTATTCATCAAAAACTCAAAGCGGTAGGGAGATGAGAACAAACGAGACTCTATTTTCATTAACAAGCATGGTACATTACCAGAGTGGTGAAGATATAGTGGTAATACTCTGTCATCATCCCCATGGTCTGGGCCTGAAAGGATATGGAGACAGAGAATGAGAAAGTAATTTGTAAATGAACAGAGACAGGATAGAGAAAATGGTCATTTTTCACATCACAGTCAGAACAAACCATACCAAAGAGATGCACAAAAAGACCTTCATCATTGAAGAGGAAAGAGGTTTTAATGAGCATATTGACGAACACGCTGATCATTTTGTGGACAACTGTTTGTTATCGCTTGTCGGAATTCCTGCACCATATGTGGTCCACAGAATTACAGAGAATAGCAGCAGCACTTGATGCTTTTCTATGCATTTAAATGGTTTTTGCAAGGGCTTGGGGCACGTGACGTTATTCCAGCAGAGGAGAGAGCCTTCAATCAAAAGAGCTCGGTAATCTTTGCCTCATATCCGAACACTCCATCACTGCCACTTGTTTCACTCAATCTACATTCAAAGGCCCCACATTCCCATGGCGGCTGTTCTGCCTATTTAATTGTACCATCTGCCGTGGAAAAAAAAAGGCAAGGTTATATAAATAAGATGCCACGCTTATGTTGAGACGAATTCCCTTTTCCATCTATCGACATCAAGCCAAATACATGACATTGAAACTTTGTGTCACGTTTTGTATTGTGAGCAGGAGTTTTCTTTTCTTAAGTATTTATTTCCTCTTTATTTCCACATTTAATAATATTATACTATATAATTCTGTCATCATTTCTATTCATCAGCGTTTTATTTTGGTAAACCTCCATATGTCCGTGCTCCCACCAATATAGTAGCAGGTTCAAAACATATGACAATAAAGGGCACACAGAGTTCTTGTAAAAGACACCGGGGACAGTCTTCCTCATTCTTATCCAATCTGAGAGGGAATATAACGGAACAGAGACAGGTGTAATGCAGGTAAGCCTGTCAGGGTGAAGACAGGACCCGACATTGTTAAGAATCATGGCATGAAAAACGAAATACTCCAAGGGCATAATGCAGCACTTAGATATTTAAACTCTTTTAAAATAGTCGCGTCAGATCCTCCTTTTTACGCGTGCAGCTGCTGTACCAGTCAAGTCAGATTACACATCATTTTAGTTCAGTCCTTTGAATGCTCCCTATTGTCTTGGATAGGACCAACCTTTTTGTAAAGCTGTAAATGGATCTGCCTGAAAAACTTATTTTACTGTAGTTCAGTAGCTGGTACATTTTGTCACTGCTGACTGCAGATCAAAAGGATGATATCCACACTTTTCTTTAGTGAGAAAGTTATTTGACACGACTGTCACACCAAATTGTATTGAGAGATCACACTTTCTGTACTGCAATATCATTTGTGACCGAATTTACCAGACAGTTAGAATTTTTTAATCTCTAAAGTTCTTCTGAAGTTTCCAGACACTCAAATATCAATATTTGCAGTGTTTCTTTGCCAATAAACATTTTTGTGTTTTGGTCTCTTGGTTTGAGAAGACAAGCAAATTGAATTTCTCACCTATGGGTTTTTTACTTGTGATGGGCATTCATCATTTATTTTTGACAGTTAACGTCCCAAATCGATGGAATGAAAGCAATGAAAATATACCTCAGTTGTTCAAATTAAATCCGCACAGAGCTTTTCTTTAAGATATCACAGAAAAGCACAATGTATGTCATAACAAAACAACCCTTCAATTGCAACCATACATACTGTACATGATTAAGCAACATAAGCTTTCACACATTCATGTTAGAGCTGTATTGTAACTGACCAATTATGCTCAAAAGGCAGTCAAACTCATAACCAATCACCTGTTTTCCCTTATTTTAAAAGCTGTAGTCTGCGCTATAGCACAGCACCCCGACAATGCAGTCATGGACTGGAACTGTCAGGAGCATTTTTGCCTCAAAACCTTCTCTCACTTCTCCTCTCAAGGGGACACTGATTCTTTGGTGCGAGATGTGCAGACTGGCCACGAGCGAATATATGTCAACTTAGATCTCAATAACTTTGGAGGAGATGATGCATTTGGTAAACATGTTGACAAAAGCTGACAGCACACTGAATGGAGGGTGGATGGGGGGGGCATCCACCAGCCTGTTCCTGACATCTATAGAGCATTAGACCAACTACACAATATCTACTCTGTGCATCATACTGTTCTTTGTGACGGAAAATGATTTGTCCTAAAACAAGTAATAATGAAGCATTTTTGATATTATTCCTGTTTGTGGGATGCATGTGAAAGTCTGGCCATCCACGAAGAGAGTTGGAAAAGGTCAGAATGTGTACATACAGTAACACATTAGGGCCATACCTGAACACTAAAAACAGAATAAGCATATTTTGAGCATTGTTTTCTATGTTCTATATTTGATTTAATTTTAGATCTAGAGAATTAACTGGCTAACACCTGGTTGCATCAAATGGTGAAGGCCCAGGATCCATTGTGAGAACCACCCATTTACATTGAGATTGTTTTACCCTCTACAACAAAGCCGGTGGCAACAGATGCAAAAATAAACAGCTGTGCGTCACAACTGATCACATTTCAACATCAAACTATGACAGGTGTCTCTGCTTAACATCATGAGATTGTTCACTCCAAGATGTATATCTTCCACAAGTTCTCAAATATCAATAAATCAGTTTTAGATTTGATATCTACCGTTGGACACGACTGTAGTTGTCTCAGCAAGCAGGTGGCACAAGTGTAAAACCCATACTCTCAAAGCAGAGTTTCAATGCTTCTTCATTATTACCGACACACCTTCTGCTGCTGCTCTCCTCCAGGCGTTCTTGCCAATTCAAAGCCTGCATCTTTTCATTCTCAACACATTTGATCAACTGAATGCTAAAGAATCAGCTGGTGCCAGTGAGAGTGTGGAAGAGGGCCAAATGCTTTCAATGTTCAGCAACGCTCAGATCCAACATCAGGAGGGTGTGTTCCACAGTCTCTCACTAACCTGTTTGAGAATCTGTGCCGCCATTTGGTGATTGCAGTCAAAGATGATGCGAAACTCCCGGCTTCTCTTCATTTCTTTGAGAAGGGGTCTCGTGTCCTGCGTGTCAAGAGGAAGCTGACGAATCTTTAGCCTTATGTTGTACCTGGACGGGGCCATTATCAGCTCCTGTAGTCTTATCAGACCTGAGGAAGAGAAATGGCACACATGAAGACAGGGCCATGAGTGTCACAAAGAAAATGCAATCCTATTGTGTCGTACTTTGCACATGTGCACCCTGTTTGTGAGAATATATCATATAATAATGTAATAGTCTGTTCACCTGTGCTGTCATCGTATACAACGGTGGCTGTTTTCCATTTTAGAAACTGCACCAGGTCCAGGATAGCATAGCTTAGTGAAGAATAATCTGGGTACAAATTGGCATAAAAGCTGTCTCTGTTGTCCAAGGGGTGATGTTTCCACCGCACCTGGACGTGCGGCACTTCCAATGCATTGCAGATGGACTGCACAGCATTTGACGACGAACTATGCGAGGGCCCAAATATTGCAACCACACCTAAAGACAGCTGGTCACATGCTAGAGAGGAGCAAGAGAAGACAGCTTGAGAATATAGTGTGTTAGCTCTTCAATCACAGTCCATTTAGTAAGGATTCACAAATACTAAAGATTTGTTCCAATAAATTCCAGATTTTGATATGAAAGCTACAACAGATTTTTGCTGTCTTTTGACTAATTCTCTTCCACAATGTAATCACAGTCCATAAATGAACACAGAACAAGCCACTCACCTTTTCTTGACGCCTCAAAACTGTCGTAGATATTAATCCTCTGTATGTCATATGTTAATGTTGTGTTTGGCAACAAAGTCCTGTTTCTGTTAATGTTATTGACAGCAAATTTAAAGGCAAGCTCCTCCGGGCTAACAAGTGAAACGGGTCCGTCTGTTTGTTCGAAAATCCCACCTGAAAAACAAGAGAGAGAGAGAGAGAGACACGTGAGGCCCATGACAATCGGTCTCAAAACATAATCACAGCAAAAGGAGAAACTCATACACAATTCCAGGTAGGGCTAAATGGAGAAAAATATTGAGAGGGCGTTTGCACTTAGGACTAACTGTGAGGGGAGCAGTGCACATAACACGAGGTATTAAATTTGCTCAGCAAACATGGAGCAACCCTCTCCATTTTCAGTGAATGCTGAAAAAAAACAATATCAGCTTTGAAGTCTAAAGCCATAATGGATTTAAGGAGTGTATGTGTGTGTGTGTGTGTGTGTGTGTGTGTGTGTGTATGTCTGTCTGTATGGTCCATCAGGGCAGCAGGATATCTCAGGCTCTTGTCTCTCCATTAAAATGTCCTTTTATTTCACCGGAATACCACATTGTAGGAGCAGAGAACTGGACGCGAGCACTCTTCTTTTATATAAAATTCAAAGGAAAGTATTTTTCCATTTATTTGATGGGCTGGACTACTGCTCAAAACTTAAAAAACATGTCAATGTGCACATCAAAGTAGAGCAGCGCCTGAGATGGTGGTGTGTATCAGACCATCAGTGCTGCACTACATCCTTCAGTGTAGAGCAAAAAAAAAAAATGTTTTTTTTTTTTCAATAGTTAGCCAGATGAATGAAGTTGTAATGATATATTGGACTTGCAGGGCCCACAATGAAGCTTAAACAACCAAAATATAGAGCATTTATTTCAGGTCACTTAAAGTGGGACTCCACCAATATTAGACCAGTTTATTTATCATGGAGAGTACTACGCATTGTGTGAAAACAGTTGTCTTCTGTAGCTTTAAAATTAGCTTTTTAAATGATGATGTCATCATGATGGCCTTGGAGACTTGCGATTTATAACAATATAACTGAAAGCTTGTATTTCATAGAGCTTGAAAGAAGTGAAAAGTTAACAGCCCGGGGGTTAGCAAATTGATACAATTGGTTGCATATTGAGAAATGTATGATCCAATGTTTTTATAACATATACTGTATATATAGCTCATTTAAGACACTGCTCATGGATGAGAGGCAGACTTGTTTAAACCTGTAAATATTTTTGAAACAACCAACTCAGATTTTTGAATAACTTCACCTTCACACTCCTTCTGTAACTTCCGTTTTTACTTTTAACATCTATCTCATGATGTCTCTTGTGATGGAAGTGCACATCCAGTTCCTACTGAATTGTCCCTTATGGAGGAAACCCAGAGAAAAAGGTTGCGTGATGTGACTCGGTGTGTGTGATGAACACTTTATGCAGCCTTGCATAAGTGCATACATCTTTATAGACCTTATATAAGATGTGATCACCCCATGTGTTGCTCTATTTAGTAATTTATGTATGGAAATTCAGTTATTTTTGTTTCACTTTAACACAGATTATTCAGTAGTCAGAGTATTTTCTTTGGCAATCTTTCCCTGTCATGTCAACCTCTGCATCTAACATTAAAAAAAAAATCTAAGTTCCACCATTTGTGTGTAATTGGTAAAGTAAGAAACATTACAAGTACTGTCAAATGTAAGACAACAAAGTCCCTCTGTGGCTCAGAAGACAGTTTAGACAGTTTCTTAAAAGATGCCTGTGGGAACATCAGCTTATAGAGAGTCTGGCTACTCCACCTCCACTCCCATCATAACAGCCATTTCAATAACAAAGCAAAATGTCTCTGCCATCTTCCGGCAATTCCAAAAAAAAGAAGAAAGTTCACTAAGTTCATATTTTATGGCCGTCATTTAAGTTATAGAGACAACCTTTCTAAACCTGTTTTCCCCCGCGATGAGATCACAACATTTCGAAACACTAAATCACCGTAGTAGATATCTTTGAATGTATTTCTGCTGCCTCTTTATGCTGATTTTGACTCAGATCACTCTTCAGGATAATCTTGAAATATCCAACTGACAAAGAAACAGCAAAGAGTAAAGCAGCACATCCTCAAATTTTAGACTCTGGACCCATGACAATGTAAGGCATTTTTGCTTGATAATTGACAGAAATCATCAGAATGACGATAAACTAATCGATTAATCGACCAATGGTTGCTAGCAGTTGCTTTGTTGGAGTGTATGAACTTTTAGTACATCTCACTGGAATATTGATATTCTTACCTTCAATTGGATGATTGAAATACTTCTTGAAATAATCTTGAAAACATATTGAATTAGGTACACTATTCCCAAACAGTGACTGGATTCACATGCACACCATTATTATATATCAAAAGGCACAGGGAACAAATCTATAAAAAGGCTTTAAATGAATTAGGCCTAATGGGATTTAAAGAACACAGAATGATTTATTTCTGTATTATTTGTGTTCAGGATTTTGCACTCCCATGGCCTAGCACACAAATACTGCCTGCCAACCCGGTATTATTTCACTAATCCTAGAGAATACCTGGTTACAGAGAGCTGAGCTTGGAGATAGCACCTGTGACCTGCTGATGATCCCCAATAGACCCCCGGTTACTGGATCACTGACTCACATATCTCGGCTCCTGTAGGCAGAGTGGCAATTCTGGAAGCCATGCTCATCCTACTATTTATGGCTCAAAGCCTCCCTGGATTGCAAAGGGACGTGATGCATAAACCGCCCGGTGGAATGCGTCACATTAAAATAAATGAATCCTTCCATTTCATGGGGAAATCTCATTAGAGTACATTAAGTAATTGCTGGAGTATATAGTAATTTGACTGTTAAGAGGATACGATGTGCATTGCTCAGAAGCACTTTAACAAATTTAATAAACAGGGGGAAACCTGCTCCTTAGGAGGAAAATCCTGCGGATAATTTGCTTTCCCTTTTTAGAAGTCTGCCATAAGCACAATGGCCTCGAAGCCTTAATGTACAAGAGCTCCCGCATTTTCATCCAATAAGGGATAAGCGGTTCTTTTCAGCATCGCACAAAATCTACTCTAATGATGTAGAGATTAGAATATTATGGAATATGTTTACAAGTTCCCATTTTAACAACCGCACTGAATGTTCGTTATTGCGGTGGGCGTTTGCAAATTGAGATGCATGAATTTCAGACTTGTTCTTGTGAATCAGTCAAAAGGCTTTAAATTAGCATGCCTCCAATAGACAAGAACACAAAGGGCTTTAATTAGTCTCTAAGGTCCTACCACAATATATAAATCAGCTGCTAATTGCAGCTGTTTCCATAATTTGTCCTTTGAGGACTTAGTGTATCAGCTGCATTCAAAAGCCAGAGAGTGATATATGTGAGGAGAAGACGACCCACATTTGACTCTTAAACTGCAGGAAGTGAAACCAGACCATTCTAACTTTACAGTAATGTAAAATATAATGAAATGAATGCTAAAGTACTGCTCAGTGTAGAATAATTTAATATATAACAAATAAGGCTCGTCAGCTGTCAATCAGAGTCACTTTATTAGGTATTTTCCTCATTTTTTGCACAAATCTGTACTGCTGGTTTTATCCCGATGCTTCAGTAACAAAAATAACCTGAAAAACACTTCTGTAGATGATAATGCTCACCCAGTGGTGTTTTAACGGTGCTGACATGTATCATAGCGTTAAGGTGACTTGAAGACCTCGTCACACAATGCAAAGGTATTAACAAAGTACAAAGCCAGGATGTATAAGTGCAGCTAACCCGGCAACTGCATGGTAATAGCTAAAAACACATAGTATTCAGAAAGATTTGAAAACCTTCAACTAAGAAATGTGACCAAAGTGCAGATTAGAAGTGCAAACATTTTTTTATATTTAAGCTAATAAATGACACATGAATAAAACACATGGCCTGCATGCAAATGAAAGCCTTTGGTAAACTGTGGTGTGAAGGAAAATTAAGCTGACTTTTATTCTTAAATAGAAGCTGTGAGTACAGAGGGGTCTGCAAGGCCTAAAGGAACGGACAGAGACAAGCTGTGTCAAGTCAAAACAAAAATCCATGTTGTAGCATGAAAGCCCCACATGTTATGTTCAAACAACGTGGGCAAGTGCACACTCATACACCCACCCTCTGCTTTTAAGGAGTGGCAGATTGCCTGCAAGCCATCTTAGGTTGGAATCAACTGGGTATCACTGAAAATGCTTATTTTTAACATCTACTGCGATTTAAAGACTTGAAAGAGTGATCCGAGTGACAGAATGACAAAAGAAAGCAACATTAAAATAGACTGATGTCGGGGTTGTTTTTGCTATTTCAGTTTTATGGTTTGATGACTTTTACAACATTATGGTAAAGATAAACATTATACAGTTCAATTGAACATGTTTCTGCAATATTACACTTGGTGATGTTACTGATTTTCTCATTTCTAATGAAATTTAATTACCTAAAAGATGTTTTTTTTTTCTTACAATCTCAGTACAGTAGCTTAAATATATTGCTGATTTTTAATTTAAAGCAAAGCTGCTTTCCGTTAGGATGGAGTCTGTTGTTTTCCCAACTATGATTATTTATTCATTCATTTGTTTGGGCTTGCATCCAAGATTGGAGCAGTCATATTTGTTTGCAGTGTAATGTAAACATCGGTGTGTACGTGAACATTTTTGTCCTTGTCCTTAAAACAATCACACAACAACACAACCCAAAGAGGGTCAGATTAACATCCAATGTCTCAGGGACTCAGAACATTTTGATTTTCAGGAGAAAAAATATCACTTTAGAGTTTAAAATGGTTCATTTTTTTCTTTTTGTTCCATCCAACAATATGTGTTCAAATAAATGCAGTACCCACAAGGCAAGGTCATGTTTGGCATCTGCGCGTTCTACTACTGAGGTAAAAACTGTGATAACATTTCCCTTGTTCAACATGAAATCTAAGGCAAGATCGATAACCTGTTCTGTTATTTTCTGCCAAGCAACAATCTGACCTTACTTGCAGATGCAACAAGCTTCACAAAACATTGAATATGATGTCATTACCTCACTTGTCCTTCTAAACCCATGTAACTCCATTATACTAAGTTATTCTTCCAAAACTG